GTGTGGTCACTTGTTGACCATACGAAACAGGTCTGTAGCAATAAAACGATGAATCACTCCTGAAGTCCTGAACTACATTTAATGAATATATATATATATATATATATTTAAAAAGCTAAAAAAGGGGAGGGGAAAAAAATAGATACCCAATGGGTATCTGTGTCTGCTGCAATGGAATGGAATGGAATGGAATGACTTTATAGGCGGCAGTTCAATGGGCTAATACCTAGCCGTACCAGAATTTGTGAGAACTAACACTCTGAGTAAACTTATGCTGGATTATTTTAAGGAAATCTATAAACGCTGATGGTCTATTTTGTTAGGCTAAATCATGACCAAGATGATCCATCCTTTTCAGCATATCACACAAGTAAGCAAGTTAAGGCAGCCATTAATAACTTTGTAATACTAAAAGGAGACAAGCAATTCTGAACAAGACAGTTTTGATAAACTTTGTCAGACAATTTTTAGAGAAAACAGTATCAATTACAAAAACTACGAATCACGCAAAGTAAACATTTTCACTTCTTTCTTTTGGGTACAAATCAAAACTCGTTGTTTGGAAAACTAGCTGTAACACAGGTGAATGTGGAAAACGGCTTATAAATGTGTATATAATTATTTGATCAACGTTTGAACCGTCAAGAAAACAGAGTTTTCATGTTTCTTTATCTTTCAGAATGGAAGGAGACCTCTGATACTAACTAATCTTATTAGATTTGGCGTCACAGACAATCACTGTTTTAAGAACAATCTTTAACGCAACAGTATTAACAACGACTTAGAGTAAAATCGAGTTAACATTTTTATTTGTTGGTTTTTTCATTGTTTTCAAAACAAGCTGTAACACAACTGAAGCAATATCTTGCTTTTAAGAGCAAATGACACCAAAAATCGAATTTAATTAAAATTTGGTGGCAGAAGTCGAAAAATCGATTTTTCTCTCTTTTCGTCCACAAATGGCCCTTAGATATGAAACGTGATACATGCATAGTTTTTTTCGAGTTCGAAGTGCTTTAAAATCGAGAAAATAGAGAACAACGATTTTTGCCTCGACGGTCGCCAAAATGGCTGAACGCAAAGGCTGGAAATTAGAAATCTAAACTTAATTTGCGCTCGCGTGTAAAGGAGAACCAAAACTTATCGATACTTTTCCTTGAAAGACAAAGTATTCAGCTATCCAAAAAGGTTAGAACTTGACTTGAGTGCCATTTGAGAATAAACACACATTTTTGAAAAAAATCCCTTTCAGTTACTAGGTCAAATTCTTATTTAACGAATAAAATTCAGAAATATTTTTCGACATGTGTCAAAGCTCCAAATTCCTTGAAACGTCGCCGCAGCTTGGGTTATTCCTCGAGTGATTTTTGAGGCCTGGCTGAAAAACCCCAATTTTACTTAGAACATCACGAAAAGTAAACAGTGGACTGCTGAGGGGAAGTGAGTATAGCTAGCTAGGCGTTTAAAGTCCTTGTATTATTAGTTCTTTGTACTGATTAGTAAATTGTTTGCTCTTACTTGTTATATAAAGGTAGAACAGTTCAATCTCAGCGCCAAAGTAACTCTATTTGATCCGAGTAATAAGTTTTCTTGTTTCGAATGCCAGACATTTGTGACGAGATGTCGATTTCACACCAGGTAGAAACAGGAAGTCAATAAACAATTACTACCCGGCCTTGTAATCATTAATCGAAGATAACAGGCCGCTTAAAGAGGCCGTCGATAAAACCAGGAACATGGAACATTCCGGAAGATTCCGGAACGTTTCGGAATATCCCGGAACATCCCGGAACGTCTCAGAATATCGAATAATTATAATAATTATGCGAAAAATACGTAAAATTTTGCGTTTTCTTAAGCAGGGGAATACCACCCATTTGAACTTTAGGTTCGGTTGCAAAAAGTTATTTCAGGACCGGCAATTCAGGTTAAATTTGGTAAAAACAAGTCTTTTAAGACAGGGGCGTAGCCAGGGGAGGGTTCCAGGGTTTCCGGAACCCTCCCTTTGGGTTACGACCTAGACATAAAACACTGTTGGGTGCAAGCGCACAATGGCGCGTCTAACATGTTCTACTAGGCGAGGCGCACAAGCACTGATACGGGAAAAAAGTCCAAAGGCTGTGTACACACACTGCAGGGCTCACTGTCTGAACCTCCCAATTGTTCATTCCTGTGATCAACCCTTTATAAGAAACATGCTTTTGGAACATTCAATATACAATTTTTTTAAGTATTCACCGAAGCGTAACTAGCTTTCGCTAGTCGTAATTAAGAAAGAAATACCCGAGGCCTTGCGCTTTTCCCATCTATAGTAAGAGCAGTAGAAGCTCTGTCAAATGCACGGCTGTTTGCAATCCAGTTCGGGAAACTAACTGAAACTGCCTGGAACGATCGTTTAGCACATTGCGCCGACTAAAGACTCACTTGAGTCTGCACTTGCCCTCATGCACTTTCATTACAACAGGCAAATAGAAGTTAGTAAAACAATCGACCTTTTTGCACGAAAGCATCCAAGACGCCTCCTTTTTGAGGATATATATCTTAGCTGAGTAAATGGTAAATCACAAGACTACAGTCTCATCCATTTTTAATTTCGTTAGCGTTTCTTTAGGATGTGAGATTTGCAATCTCCTCTCGGAAATCCTAGTTACGTTTGGCACTGCTGAGATAACTGGAAATTTGTGATCAAAATCAAGGAAATGCTATTTCTGAGTACCTAAAATACCAAAATTTTCCAGCGGAGCATGCCCCCGGACCTCCCTAGCAAAGAGCGCCTCCGGCGCTGGATTTTCATTTCAATTGGGTCACTGATACTACAGTAGGAACCCCTCTATGCAAAAATGCTGGCTACGCCCCTGTAAGAAATCTTAATCACTGTTCATTTTGTTTGCACGTCACCGTTTCACTTCCGGGCCGTGGAATTTACTATGTCCCATAGAACGGGTTGTTTTACAGAAGAGCGTTCGTTTTTGCTCATAGATGACTTTAGTCTTCCACGAGCTTAGAAGGCAGTTCAATGGCACTCACTCACTCACTTACTCACTCACTCACTCACTCACTCACTCGATTCTGATTAATTTATTCATTAAAGTTGGATTAAACATTTTTCTCCCACCTCCCCTGGTAAGTATTGTTTTTGTCTCAAACATTACTTGTCACATGTTTGGCTTGTTTTATGGGGGTACTAGAAAGGCGTAAATTTTTTTCCAACAACATGGCGTAAGGGGGCACGGAGATCGAAGATGGTTTTTCGTGCGATCTGTAAACAGGAATTTCTTCGTGGGTTGAAAAAAGGGAATTTATTACGCTAAGGAACACTAACTGCGAGAAATCGACATCGAAATCCTAAAAGCGACGATACTTGCAACGAAATCTTAAGAGTGAATGCCTATAAAAATGGACCTAAATCGCCTATCAATGGCACAAGTCGAAAAATTGATTTCGCTTGTATTTTGTCCATAGATAGGTCC